GCCTCCAAGACGGCCCAAGACGTCCTCCAAGAAGGCCCGACAGGGTCAAAATGGCCTCCAGGCGGCCAAGATGACCTTCAAGATGCCCAGGTGTTCCCCGAAGGCTTTCCAAACCGACTCGGGGAACACATGGTCCGATAGCTTGGCAGGTCTGGCCTCAACGTTCGGCCACATAGGCGCTTCCAAAAAGGCCGGGGGCGGCGGTGATTCGCCGTAGGCGTCTTCGATCCGCCGCCCCCTGTGGTCTTGCCACAGGGGTGCCCGGCGTGCTAGATCCTGCTGGTTTGGCTTTGGTTTGTTTTTCCAAAAGGATTCGCCCTGGGGTTCGGCCTGTCCCGCCGGCCACCCGGAAGGGACCGGAAACCTCAACGTCCGGAACAAATCCCCGAAGATGGCCCAAGATGGCCTCCAAGAGGGCCAAGATGGCCTTCAGGTTCGCCCAAGATGGTCCAAGATGGCCTCCAAGACGGCCCAAGAGGGTCCAAGATGCCTCTAAGCTCGCCCAAGAAGCCTCCAGGATGGCCCCAGATGGCCTCAAGATGGCCCAAGACGGCCCAAGAGGCCTCCAAGGGGCCTCCAAGACGGCCCCAGAGGCCTCCAAGAGGTTCTTCAGGAAGGCCCGAAGAGGCCAGAATCATTGATTGTCTGTAGGTTTTTGAAGCATTTTGGCATTTGCTTCTTTTCGGCCTTCCGACGGCCAGAGACGGCCCAATAGCCCCCCAAGATCGCCCAAGAGGCTTCCAATGTGGCCTCAGAACGGTCCAATAGGACCCCAAGACGGGCCCAAGAGGGCCCCAAGATGACCCAAGAGGTGGATGGCCTCCAAGACGGCCCTGGATCACCCCAAGAGGGCCCAAAGTCGACCCAGAGAGGCCCCCAAGACGGCTTCCGACGGCCTCAGACGGGCCAGGAACACCCTAAGACGGTCAAAGAGGCCCCTGAGAAGCCCCCGAGATGCGTTCAAGAGGCTCCCAGGAAGCTCCCAGGAGGCCCCAAGAGTGCCCCCAGAGGCTCCCAAGATGCCCCTCCTCCTCCTCCTCCTCCTCCTGGTCTTTCCCGCCATCCTCCCCCCAGTGTTCAGTGAAGGGTTTCTACAACGGCTGAGGGAACACATGGTCCGATAGCGTGGCAGGGCTCTTGCCGCAACGCTCGGCCACATGGGCGATTCCAAAAGGCAGAGGGCGGCGGTAATTATCCGTAGGCGTCTTCGATCCGCCACCTCCTGTGGTCGTGCCACCAGGGTGCCTGGCGTGCTCGACTTCTGGTGGTTTTTGGTTCTTTTAACGGCTCCCCGAAGAGCTTCGGCCGATTCTGCCAGCCACTTGGAAAGCTCCCCCAATCCACCTCCTCGACGCTTCTAAGACGGCCAAGATGGCTCCGAAAGAGCCCAAGATGGCCCCAATATGCTCCCAAGACGGCCCAAGAAGCACCCAAGACAACCCAATCTGGCTTCAAGATGGCCCACGAGGCCTCCAAGGCGACTCAAGAGGCCCCCAAGGGGTCCTGGAGGCCCGAAGAGGCCACATTCTTTTTTTGAAGTAAAACCAACAAAGATTTTGACATTTGCTTCTTTTCGACGCTCCGAAGGGCCAAGACGGCCACAGAGGCCTCCAATATCTTTTCCAGAGGGTCCAAGAGGCCTCCAATATTGCCCCAGGACGGCCCAAGAGGCTCCCAAGACGACCCCAAGGGGGCTAGCGTGGTACCAGATGGCCCCCAAGACGCCCAAGATGGCCTCTGAGGCAGCCCTGAGGCGCCCCAAGAGACCCAAAGTCGGCCCAGAGATGCCCCCTAGACGGCTTCCGACGCGCTAGGAATATCCTAAGGCTTACGAGGGCCCCAAGACGGCCCCAAGAGGGGCCCGAGCAGGAGACCACGAGCTTGCAACTTGATATCTGTGCCCCGAGAAGCCCCCAGGAAGCCCCAAGACACCTGGCAGGCTCCCCCCCCGCCCCTGTATCCTGGTGTGTGTGTGTATATATGTATATGCATATATGTATATATATATATATAATATACTATGTTTATATTTATATTATATTATATTATATTATATTATATATATTATTTATATTATTATTTATTTATATTATATTATATTATTTATATTATATTATATTATATTATATTATATTATATTATATTATAGTATATTATATTATATTATATTATATTATGTTATATTATATTATATTATCTTATATTATATTGTGTTATACTATATTATATCATATTATATTATATTATATAATATTATTACTATATATATATATATCGGAGGTGAAGGGGTGAGATCCAAGTTTGGTGGTCTCCAAACCAGGTGGTGAGACACCTGGTGGTGACCCCGATTCCCCCAAAAAATGATTCTGGGTCACCACCGGGTTTGGGGACACGCGGTCGCCACGAGGTTTTGCGTTTCCTGGGCCAGCCAGAGCTCGAAAACCATTACCCAAATCGCCCAAAACTCACCACCGGGTGTTCTCACCACCTCGTTTGGGGACCACCAACAAGTGGAACGGAGAGCCCCCCTACCGTGAAATCGATTTCGGTTTCGTGTTCGTGCGTGCCGTGCGGGCAAGGCGAAGCTGCGTGGGCGGGCGAGAGAAAGTCTCCTGTGGCTGAGGCGCGGCCGGAGCAAAAAAACCTTGACCGGGCGGCCGGTGCCTCGCGGTGTCCCGCCGGTGTCCCTCTCGGGGGCCGGTGGCGCGCGGTGTCCCGCCAGTGTCCCGCCGGTGTCCCGTCGGTGTCCCGATGATGATGATGATGATGATGATGATGATGATGATGATGATGATGATGATGATGATGATGATGATGATGATGATGATGATGATGATGCTGATGCTGATGCTGATGCTGATGCTGATGATGATGATGATGATGATGTGATGATGCTGATGCTGATGCTGATGCTGATGCTGATGATAATGATGATGATGATGATGCTGATGTTGATGATCATGATGATGACGACGACGACGATGATGATGATGATGATGATGATGATGGTGTTGGTGATGATGATGGTGTCCCGATGATGATGCTGATGATGATGATGTTGACGATGTTGATGGATGATGATGATGATGATGATGGTGGTGGTGATGATGATGGTGTCCCGATTATGATGATGTTGGTGATGACGGTGCCCCAGTGATGATGATGATGATGATGATGATGATGATGTTGGTGATCCTGATGATGTTGATGCTGATCAGATGGTTTGATGATGATGAAGATGATGATGATGGTGCCCCAATGATGATGATGATGAGGTTGATGGTGATGCCGTTGATGATGATGGTGACGATGATGGTGGCCCGATGATGATGCAAGTGATGATGATGGTGACGATGACGGTGTCCCGATGATGATGATGTTGATGATGAGGATGATGATGAGGTGATGATGCTGATTTTGATCTTGGTGGCCCAATGATGGTGATGATGATGCTGATGTTGATGATGATGATGATGATGGTGTCCCGATGATGTATTTGATGATGATGGTAATGATAATGATGGTGACGATGATGATGGTGTTCCGATGATGATGATGTTGATGATGATCATGTTGCTAATGATGATGATGATGGTGTCCCGATGATGACGAATGTTGATGATGTTGTTCATGATCATGATGATGGGATGATGATGATGGTGGTGTTCCGATGATGCTGATGATGATGATGGTGTCTCGATGATGATGGTGTTGATGATGATGCTGATGGTGACGATGATGGTGTCCCGGTGATGATGATGATGATGATGTTGATGGTGCTGGTGATGAGGTGATGATGATGTTGTCCGGGTGATGCTGGTGATGATGATGTTGATGACGTTGATGACGATGATGCTGATGATGGTGACGTTGATTGTGGTATCGATTGTGATATCGATAGTGATATCAATAGTTAGACCGAATGTCAGATCGATTGTGAGATCGATAGTGGGATCGATAGTGGGATCGATAGTGAGATCGATTGTCAGGTCCATTGTGAGATCGATCGAATGAAATAGATCGAGTGAGATCGATAGTGAGATCGTTCGAGTGAGATCGATCGAGCGAGACCGATAGTGAGATCTATAGTGAGATCGATGGTGAGACCGATCGAGTGAGACGTTGGTTCCTCTCCCCCCGAACCTCCTTATCACCCGAAGGGTGGTCGTATAGGTATAGATATATTTGTACACACATCATATACACATACAAACATACAAGCATACAATCATACAAGCATACAAACATACATATATACATACACATACACATACATTTACACACATACACATACACACATACACACAAACACACATACATACATACACACATTCGTACACACGGTCGGCAACTTCTGCTCAGCGTGTCGCCCTGGCGACACGCTCTGCCCTGCGAGCGGATAGCATGTCGCTCCGCTCCGCGGGGTGGGAGGCTCGGAACGGCTCGGGACGCTTATGCTTGGGGACCGGGACGCGGATGGCGTGCCGCGCCGAAGCGTGGTGGGCCAGAACTTGCGCCGCGACACGCCAAGCCCAAACTCCTGCCCGTATTATGTGTACGCGTGAATGGATTCGCTAGGGCCGCCCACTGCGCTCTGGCCGTGCGCGCCTGGCTGCTGCTGCTGCTGCTGCCCGTCCGGCTGCTCATCGTCGAATTCTTCGGCGTATGAGCGTCCCTCCCTCCTCTCGGCCGTCCCCCTCCCTCCTTGCACGCCGGCCAATTCGCTAGTTAATGCCCCTATCTAGCTTCACGCTGGAGCAAATTTCGCCGCCTCGCCGCTGACGGAAAATGTGCACGCGTGAATTTATAATGTGACTTGGGCTCCGAACCCTCTCGACCTTTTCTCCCGCGACCAATGTTTCATCCTTGATGCTTTTAATGTTCCCGGGGCCCGAAGCAGGACTCCGGAAGCCCGAACCGAATAACACATATAACAAATCATCCGCCCTCGTGATCTTCCCGTGACGCCGAATTCTGGCCCCATCCCACGGTCGGGGGGCCTGGAACTGTACCCTCGCGGGGTGCCAAGTTCCGATGCATGCGACCTTGCGCAAGCCGCGGTGGGACTTGCGCGCCAGCCTGGTGACGCCCCAGCGCGTGACGACGCCGTTGAAGCCGCGGCCAGCCGAGACTCCGATGCAGTCGACCATCTCGCTTGACTTGAACACATCTGCAACCTTCACCTCCTGCTCGAACAGACCCATGATGTAGTCCACCTTCGCCTCGGGGGTGCCGCCGTTGATCTGGATCTCCTTGATGACGGCCTTCTTTGCACCGATCTTTACCTTGGTGACCTGAGTGTGGCAGATGGCCCGGATGACCTGGCAATACTTCTTGGCGCGCGCGACCTCCGCCGCCATTGGGCCGTCGCCCCCGCCCTTGGTGGCCTCCTCTTTGGGCGGACTCGGAACGGTACAAAACAATTGTTTCAGCCTTGGGCGGACGTTCCTCGGCGGAGGATAAGGAGAGCTCCTCTTCCACCGTGTCCTCTTTCTGCTGCTCCTCCTCGTCCTCCTCCTCCTCCTCCTCGTCCTCCTCCTCCTCCTCGTGCTGGTCGAGCGCCCCGCGCGTCTCGACTACAACCAGCCCGAGCTACGCGGTCAGGCAGTCCGAGCTCAAGATCCAAATCAGTTCGGCCACGATTCTAAGGACGGCTGCATCCACAATGCAATAGGGCGCGGCACGGTTCAACGCGGCGTGACACGTTGAACTCAACACGGCATGGCACAGCACGGCGCAATCTAACACAGCCTGTGGCACGGTACATCACGATCGTTACCTTGAACACTGTATTTGCCCGTCGTCCAAATGCGACGTCTTGGAAACGATGCCGTGCTTCACATTTCTGCATCCTTTTCTGGATTCGTAGGTCGATCATGTTGATAAACGAGTGTGCGCGCATAATCTTTTTTGTGCAGAATATTGACTTGTGTCGAACCTGGCCTGGCTGGGACTTTATGAACTCATATTTAGATAGAACAATGGGGCAATTTCCTATGTAATTTGTACACCCCCAGGGGGTACTGATAACACCTGGGGGGTGGTATTGTGCCCTGGCCGCCCGCCGATCCTCCCACTTCTTGCCGTACTTGGTGAACGCCTTCTTCTTAGACTTGTGCCATGCCTTGTAGAACCGGCGCCTGCACTCCTCGTTCAAGTGCCCAGCCCACACCGTCGTGAGCGCGCGCAGGCCGCGCGGCGTCTCCACGTAGCCCACGAAGCCGACGACGACCATCGGAGGAGCCTTGACGATTGAGGCGGAGGACGAGGGGAAGGAGGACGAGAAGGATGGCGACAACTAGGAGGCGGCGGAGGAGGGCTCGTGGCGAAGGAGGGTCCAGGGGCCCAAGATGAGATTTCGCGGAGGCACGTGACTGGGGCGGGCTTAACAGAGCAGCAGCGAGCTCGAGTTTTAGCTAACTTCATCCGCACGCGGGCGGAGCGGAGGCCGACAAGATCGGCTGGGGACACGCATTTCGGCAGCAGCTGTAGGCGGCGGAGGATGAGGAGGCGGAGTATGTTTTGTTTCTGCCCGTGAGGCTCCAGCTGCAGTGCGCAGGGCTGGGTGCGTGGGAAAGAGCCAAGCACCTGACCGAGACGGAGGACACAGCGACATCGAGCTGACTGGGGCGGTTTGGGGAAGGGGCTCATCGCAGAGCCCGCCATACAAACTGTTGAGCGGAAGGGAGCACGAACGCCTTGTTTTGCGCCCGCTGGCTTCCACCGCCTTCCGCCGAGGAAAAGATGTCAACTCCTTAGGTCCTCGAAAGCGAAGCCCTTTTCTGGAGCGCCGCGAGAAGGCGGAGGAGGAGGAGGAGGAGGAGGAGGAGGAGGAGGAGGAGGAGGAGGAGGAGGAGGAGGAGGAGGAGGAGGAGGAGGAGGAGGGAGGAGGAGGAGGAGGAGGAGGAGAGGAGGACGAACACGAGAACGAGAAGGACGACGGCACACAGGAGGAGGAAGAGAAGGAGGAGGAGGGGGCGGCGGCGGAAGTAGGAGTAGGAGTAGGAGTAGGAGTAGGAGTAGAGTAGGTAGTAGTAGGAGTAGGAGTAGGAGTAGAGGAGGAGGAGGAGGAGGAGGAGGAGGAGGAGGAGGAGGAGGAGGAGGAGGAGGAGGAGGAGTGTGGAGGCGGCGGCGGGGGCGGAGGAGGGGGAGGAGAAGGGGGAGAAGGGAGGAGGCGGCGGCGGCGGAGGAGGGAGGAGGACGAGCGCGCGAGTGCGAGGCCTGGCCCCCCTCGGGGAGCGGGGCCGCCAGGCACGGCGCGGCGCTCCTGGGGGGCAGCGGCGGCCCCCGCTGCCGGGCGGCCCGCCTCCCCAGATCGACCCGGCGCTCAGCTGCCCCGACGCGCCACATGCAGGACGCAGCGGTGTCGGCACGGACCGCAGCACTTAGGCCGAGCACGCGGGCCTGGCGCGGTGCGTTCGCCGAAGCGTGGGGCAGCACGTGCCGAGCCAACGCGCAGCGTGGCACCACGGGCGTGCGGAGCACGGTGCGTGGTGCGTCTCGGCACCGGCGTGATCATCATGGCAGCTGAGAGCCAACGACGTGGTTTTTGCATCAGGCCACGTCCGCACTGGCTCGCCCTACAAGGCAACACCGCCAACTCTGCTCCAGGTCGTGGCGTTCCGCCGCCAGCTCCCAGCAGCCTGTGCTGCGCGGTGGCGGAGAGGTAACAAAGGGAACGGGAGCAAGCAGACGACCGCGAACGCGCAGGCGGGAGGTCAGCACCAGCGGGAGGCCAGGGCCAGGGCGTGATTTTTGCAATCCTGGCGTCCATTGTCGATTTCGGCCTCATGGCCAATTTTATCTGGGGTCCCTGGACTGCGTGGAGACAGAGCGCGCGGCCCGGTGACCTCGAAATCTCGAAGGACCTCGCCGCGCGGTCCGTCACCGCAATGTTTTGGGATCTCGGAGGAGGAGGAGGGTGAGGAGGGGAGGAGGAGGAGGGAGGAGGAGGAGGAGGAGGAGGAGGAGGAGGAGGAGGAGGAGGAGGAGGAGGAGGAGGAGGAGGGGGAGACGGAGGAGGAGGAGGAGGAGGAGGAGGAGGAGGAGGAGGAGGAGGAGGAGGAGGAGGAGGACCTCCTCATCCTCCTCCTCCTCCTCTTCTCCTCCTTTGCACGACCTGGGCCAAAACAGTGCAGTGATCCATACCCCACACTGACTCACCACACAGTGTGGTCGCCACAGCGTTGGATGGGAGGGCGGGTGGTTTTCAACATTTGGCTCTCGCATTCGCCACGCGCAGGTTAGTTTTTAAAGCTTGTAGCACTTTTAACGATGGAGGGCGGGTGGTTTCAAAATGTTGCTCTCGCCGTAGCCCGGCGCGGATTCGTCTCACAAGGCTTACAGCAATTGCAAATATGGGGGCGGCTCATTTTCAAAATGTGGCTCTCGCCTTAGCGCCGCTCGCGTTCGTTTTTGAAAAACCCATAGCAGTTTCAAGGGTGGAGGGCGGTTCCTTTTCAAAACGTGGCTCTCGTTTTGGCGCCGCGCACATTCCTTTCAAACATTTGCAAACATTTCAAGGAATCGCATGGTAGAGGTCCCAGGAATTGTGTTCTGGCACGGTTTACGAGTGTCAGGACGCGACAGTGACGTGATTCGCGGTGTTGTCGGGACGCATCGGTCACGTTGATTCGTGGCGGTGAAGTCGCATGCATGGTTTTGTGGCACAGTTGAGGATTCTCAGACTGCTGTCTTCCAATGGGGCTCTTCCCGCAACGAAAGCAAATTATGGCAGGGACCTATGAAGCGGGAACTTGGAGGAAGGGTTCACTGCAACATCGTTGATGCGTCTTGGGTTTGCGCTGGTCCTCCTCCTCCTTCTCTCTCCTCCTCCTCCTCCTCCTTCTCCTCCTCCTCCTCCTCCTCCTCCTCCTTCTTCCATTTTCCTCCTCCTCCTGGCCTCGAGGATGGTGACGGCCTCGGCCACCTCTTTCTTGTGCAGCTTGGAACCCGGCCGGTCCACGTCGCGGACGATGTGGGTCATGCCAGCCTTCACCCGCTAGGCTCCAAGCTTAGGACGGAGGAGGAGGAGGAGGAGGAGGAGGGGGAGGAGGAGGAGGAGGAGGAGCAGTGGTAGTAGTAGGAGGAGCATCACCTTGAGACCCAGGCGTTGCATTTTTTGCACTAAGGGCGTTTTCGCGTAATTTCTGGGCCCGGGGACCCTGACATGTTGATCTGGCTCGGAAAATGACGCAGAACGATGGAGTCTAGGGCTCTGGTCATGATTTTGCTGCGATGTTGAATGTTTTTGGCTACGCCAATCATGAAGGAACAAGTAAAGCGAACGATCATGAGGAGAAGCAAGAGGTACGTGGACGAGGAGTGGGAAGTAGAGGGAGGTGGCGGATGATGGCCATCATGTATGTGCGCAGGAGGGTACTGGGGACGAGGATGGCCCCCAGCGCTGTATAGTCGACTGTCGTTGACGGCGTCGGACTCCGCAGTCGCCTTCGGCATCTCGCTGGGCAACGCCGGGCTCCACTGCCACTGCTCCCCCTTCGCGCACGCGCTATGCCAGCGCTGCAGTTGACTCGGGCAGGCTCGCCTCACGGCATGAAGAGTTGCTTCTTGCGCGTTGGGTCGCCTCTGGCAGATTCCAGCGGCGATGGTCGCCAGGGGTTCCAGCTCCGCCTCGAGCATCTCACGGAGCAGCGACAGTGCCCTCCACCACTGCTTGCCTCTTTCGCACGCGCTGATGCCAGCGTTGTAGCTGATGAGGTTGGCCTCCATTTTTGTTTCAACCAATTCGCTGAGGATCGACAGCGCCCATTGCCACTGCTGGCCTTTGCCACACGCGCTGGCAGTGGCAACGTACTGACCTGGACTGATGCTCGCACATTGTCGGGTTGCCTCGCGGAGCGAATGCAGCACTGCGCTCCACTTCTCAGTCCTCCTCCGCGAATTTGCCGCTGTCTCGGAGTGCGATCTGCCTGGTCGAGACCCCCGCCGGATGTCGAACACCGCGGGGTCATTCAGATCATAAATGACCCAGGTCCATACTCCAGCCAAAGGACTGATCCCAACATTTCAACCAAAATGGCTACCTACGGAGACGGGGGAGGGGAGGAGGAGCGATCCAACGGATCCATACACTTTTCCTGCAGCAGCTCGGCCAGGCGGAACGCTCGGCCAGCTGAGCTCGGCCAGGCTGACCTCGGCCGGCCAGCCGACCTCGGCCGGCTGCCCTCGGCCAAACTGAATACTCCAGATTTCGTAATAAAGGGAGGGGGGTCTCACTTCGGGGGGGGGTCTCTTCCAGGCTATCTTGGAGGGCCTGGGGGGTCTGGGGACGATGTTTTGGAGGGTTCTCCCACGGGGGAGGTCTGAAATGGCTTGTCTTGGAGGGTCCAGACCCCCTCCCTTTTATTACGAAATCTGGAGTAGTTAACACTTACATATTCGGCGCTTCGACATTGTCAATCGAAAAATCCCCCCCCCCATATTAACCACCCCGACACGCGAAGCCGTCCAGCAGAAGCACCCAAAGAGGGGATCGAACAGGGCAGGGCTGTTCAGTAAACGCCCAGGGCCGTTTGTCCAGTCCGCGTGGTTTTTCCTCTCTTGACATTGGGCGGAAAGGGGGGGAGGGGGGGGGTCTGGCTCCGGACCTCTGCCTAGTGCGACCGTTTGCAGCAGTGCGTCCAGTATGGGGGAGATTGTACCTGCTTGAAACAGGCGCCCAAAACAGCCAAGCTCCACTCAAAGGGGTGGGGGGGGAGGGGGTGCTTGCAAGGGCCCGCGCCGATCGCCAAATCAATGAATGAAACATGATCGACCCACGAACTCAGAAAGAAAGATAGACATGTAAAGCATGGCAATGTTTCAAAAACACCTGATTGGGCGACGGGCAAACGCAATGCTGAGTGTATCGATCTTGATATACCCTGCCGAAGGCTGTGCTGTGCAGCGCCGTGCTGAATTGCGATGTGCCATGCCGCGATTGTGCTCGATAGCGTTGTGGATCGAGTCCTCCTTTGCATCCGAGTCCTGACCGAATTGATCTGGATCTTAAGCTCGAGCTATCTCAGCACACAGTAGCCGCCCCAGAGCTAATTGACAGGGGAACATGCCAGGAGGACGCGCCGCGGAACGTCCCAAGGGACGCGCCAGGCGACGTGCCAGGGGACGTGCCACGGGGACGCACCGCGGGACGTGCCGAAGGGACGCGCTACGGAACGTGCCAATGGACGTGCCACGGGACGTGCCAGGGGACGCGCCGCGCGACGTGCCAGGGGGACTCGCCACGGGACGCGCCACGGAACGTGCCGAATTGCAATGCTGAGTGTATCGATCTTGATGTACCCTGCCGAAGGCTGTGCTGTGCAACGCCGTGCTGAATTGCGATGTGCCATGCCGCGATTGTGCTCTATAGCGTTGTGGATCGAGTCCTCCTTTGCATCCGAGTCCTGACCGAACTGATCTGGATCTTAAGCTCGAGCTACCTCAGCACATAGTAGCCGCCCCAGAGCTAATTGACAGGGGAACATGCCAGGAGGACGCGCCGCGGAACGTCCCAAGGGACGCGCCAGCCAGGGGACGTGCCACGGGGACGCACCGCGGGACGTGCCGAAGGGACGCGCTACGGAACGTGCCAATGGACGTGCCACGGGACGTGCCAGGGGACGCGCCGCGCGACGTGCCAAGGGGACTCGCCACGGGACGCGCCACGGAACGGGCCACATTGAAATCCTGAGTGTATCGATCTTGATGTACCGCGCCGAAGGCTGTGCTGTGCAACGCCGTGCTGAATTGCGATGTGCCATGCCACGATTGTGCTCTATAGCGTTGTGGATCGAGTCCTCCTTTGCATCCGAGTCCTGACCGAACTGATCTGGATCTTAAGCTCGAGCTACCTCAGCACATAGTAGTCGCCCCAGAGCTAATTGACAGGGGAGCATGCCAGGAGGACGCGCCGCGGAACGTCCCAAGGGACGCGCCAGGCGACGTGCCAGGGGACGTGCCACGGGGACGCACCGCGGGACGTGCCGAGGGGACGCGCTACGGACCGTGCCAATGGACGTGCCACGGGACGTGTCGGGGGACGCGCCTCGCGACGTGCCAGGGGGACTCGCCACGGGACGCGCCACGGAACGTGCCAAATTGCAATGCTGAGTGTATCGATCTTGATGTACCCTGCCGAAGGCTGTGCTGTGCAGCGCCGTGCTGAATTGCGATGTGCCATGCCGCGATTGTGCTCTATAGCGTTGTGGATCGAGTCCTCCTTTGCATCCGAGTCCTGACCGAACTGATCTGGATCTTAAGCTCGAGCTACCTCAGCACATAGTAGCCGCCCCAGAGCTAATTGACAGGGGAACATGCCAGGAGGACGCGCCGCGGAACGTCCCAAGGGACGCGCCAAGCGACGTGCCAGGGGACGTGCCACGGGGACGCACCGCGGGACGTGCCGAAGGGACGCGCTACGGAACGTGCCAATGGACGTGCCACGGGACGTGCCAGGGGACGCGCCGCGCGACGTGCCAGGGGGACTCGCCACGGGACGCGCCACGGAACGTGCCGAATTGCAATGCTGAGTGTATCGATCTTGATGTACCCTGCCGAAGGCTGTGCTGTGCAACGCCGTGCTGAATTGCGATGTGCCATGCCGCGATTGTGCTCTACAGCGTTGTGGATCGAGTCCTCCTTTGCATCCGAGTCCTGACCGAACTGATCTGGATCTTAAGCTCGAGCTACCTCAGCACATAGTAGTCGCCCCAGAGCTAATTGACAGGGGAACATGCCAGGAGGACGCGCCGCGGAACGTCCCAAGGGACGCGCCAGGCGACGTGCCAAGGGACGTGCCACGGGGACGCACCGCGGGACGTGCCGAGGGGACGCGCTACGGAACGTGCCAATGGACGCGCCACGGGACGCGCTCCCAGGGCCACGATCCCTTGTAAATTACGCTGCGTCCGCGCTCTTAGGGCCACGATCCCTCGTAAATTACATTGGGGTCGCGCTCCCAGGGCCCCGCCCCCTTGTAAATTACGCTGCGTCCGCGCTCCCAGGGCCGAGGAAATCATGGAAAAACAAGCGAATTAGTCGAGACATCCTCGAAATTCCTGCGCGCGGGACGCGGCACGCGCGAGACATCCTCGGAATTCCTGCGCGCGGGGCTCTTTTCCGCGTCGCGGTCGGGGCTCCAGATCTCGGTTTTTGTTAAGAAAATGCAGCAACAAATTGCCCGCACTTTTTTTTACGAGAGAAAACGGTGGTCCGCGAACCCTGTTATTTATCGAGGATCCGAGGTGGGGGGTCGACTTTCCTCGAAAAGGGCACGCACGAAACGCACTTTTTCAGGACGAATTGGGCTTTACCTTGGTTTTTATCGAGCGGAAATCCGCCGGCCTCCTTCAAGTCAAAACTGGGGGTTAACCAACTCCAACAGAACCCTTCCGGGCGGAGCCCTTTCCGGGAAAACGGTCACGTGCGGTCCAGGCCGAGTTCAGCCTCGCCGAGTTCAGCTTGGCCGAGTTCCGCCTGGACGCGTCTCGCCTGCCCGAGCTTCGCCCGGCCGAGCCCTTGCCCATATCTTGCTCACCCCAGGGCCACGTCTCCTCGCCCTGGATCCCGAGAAGGGCCTCCGAGGGCCAAGTGGGGGTCCCGGAGCCGTGTGGTGACAGACCCGGCGGTGACCTCGAGATCCGCCAAGGCCTCACCGCACGGTCCGTCACAACCACACGGTTTTTGGGACCCTGGAGGCTCCAGTCGCCCGAGACATCCTCGGAGAACGACCCAAGTCCCAAAACCGTGCGGTGACCCCGAATCCCCACCGACTCACCACACGGTGTGGTCACCACCCCGTTTGGGGGCCCCCGACAAGGTCGAGGAAAAACGCGGGGACCGAGACAATCATTGGCGGCGCGCGCAAGGGGGTAGGGGGAGAGGGGGGGAGGCTTCTTAGAAGGAGGTTGCTTCTCAGAAGCCTTCCCCCCTCCCCCCTACCCCCTTGCGCGCGTGGCCGTAATTTTCCGGGGGGGTCGACGATTGTGTGAACGTTTTCTTATTCGGCGTTTCGACATTGGGCGAAAGGGGGGGGGGTGGGATGGGTGTCTGCCTCCTGACCTCTGCTAAGTGGGACTCTTTGCAGCAGTGCGCCCTATGGGGGGAACTCCACCTGCTCGACACAGGCGCCCCAAACAGCCAAGATCCACTCCATGGGGGAGGAGGGAGGGGGGGTGCGATGGCTCGCGCTGATCGGCAAAACAGTGAGTAAGAGCACGTTAGGTGCTTGTTCTTGTTTTGCTGTGTGATATATATATATATATATATATATATATATATCTTAGACTGAAGTATGCAATTATTAGTTATGCGTTGAAGATGTCTGACTTTCGATTAGTTTCTATCAATCTTTGTTCGCATTTCTTACTTATTTATAGGATATACACCTATATCTGAACGTTCCAAAGCCAGCCACACCGTTATATGTTGTTTCCTCCTCCCGAGCCTTGTAGGTCATGAAGGCGGTCAGGTGCGGCGGCCTCAGGCTCGGCGGCCGAGGCAGAGCCCCCCCCCCTCCCGCGCCGACGGGCCCGGCCGCCGGCGGCCGTCGCTGCCGGCCCCACGGTCGCTGCTCGCGCCTGCCCTGCCTCCGTCCTCCTCCCGCCTGCTGCTGAGCGAGGGGGCGAGGGGCAACGAAAAGGGGGGGGATATGGACAGGGGGGGACACGTCGACCTGGAATCGGCGATACATCGCCGATGGATCGGCGACAGGCCTCCGATAGAACACGGTCGCTGCTCGCGCTTGCCCTGCCTCCGTCCTCCTCCCGCTTGCTCTTGTCGGCGGCGAGCGAGGGGGGGGGAGTACAGTCATCGGCCTGTCCTAAGGAACGATCAATAAGGAACGAAGCCCCTTTTTTTCCTCGAAGGAATAACGCATCAGGAACGATGAATAACGCATGCAAGCCTAAGGAACGACCGAGCCCCTTTTGAAAAGTAAGTGTTCCAAATTCAAGCCGCTCACTGTAGAGGCCTCCGACATGGGGTCCGAGTAGATGG